GAGAGAGAGAGAGAGAGAGAGAGAGAGAGAGAGAGAGAGAGAGAGAGAGAGAGAGAGAGAGAGCAGGTAAGTCTCCAACCTCGCGGCTGGACTTCTGGTACTTCCATCGACAGGAGGAGCAAAATCGAACGTATGTACCGCTAGAACATGGAAATATACACTGTGCACAATCGTGCAGCACACCAGACGTGCGCAGCGCAACGCGCACCCAGATGCGCACCTCGGGTCCGCGCACAGCGCGCTGCGAAGCATACAGTGCTGGTGCGCCACAAGTATGATCTGACCGCAATCACGTCCAGAGCTGCGTCGAAAAAGTGAACGCAATGACATCCGGAGCTGAGACCGATGGAAGTCCAAAAAAAAAGAGAAGAAAATTTAAGCCTGTTACTTGGCCGCCGGGAGCACTCATAATCGGGACCGCTTTTTTCTGTTTTTTTTTGTTTTAGCCGCATTTGTGGTCAGATACATTCAGGAAAGTGATTGTGCGAGTATGCCCTGAGTTGAAGAAGTAAAAAAAAAGCATGGCAACCGCGGACCCGGACCCGGACATGTCTGGACCGAGGCCCAGACATTTGTCTGGACTGGTCCAGACGTCCAGTAATCCGGACAGGCACCGGACAATCGGACAGGACCGGACCCGGACCGCCCGGACCGGTACACCATACACAAAAACGTCCAGACCAAAAAAAAATAAAACGTAAGCAGTACTTTACATATCACAGCTTACTGTCTCTTTCACTATTCACAACTTGACAGCTCAATATAGAGTCAATACTGTCACACGGACATTCACAAAGGCTCACACAACACTAGAAAGTTCACAACACTAGAAAGTTGAAACCAGTTCTCAACAGACCTTTGCGATCCCAAGACACTTCAGAGAAGAGTACGGAAATCAGAAAGAAACGGAACTTTGAACTATGAAGGTTAGACTTCTTTCTAATTCATATTTATATGAAAATTGAACATTTAAACTGTTAAGTTATTCAGATCTGCGTAAGAACAGATCTGAGATCTGGTCAGGACCAGATCTTAGACGGTATCTCAGATCTGATCCTGTCGATCTCTCTCTCTCTCTCTCTCTCTCTCTCTCTCTCTCTCTCTCTCTCTCTCTCTCTCTCTCTCTCTCTCTCTCTCCCGATGTTCTGTGGCGCTTTGCAGCCAGCGCTTCATTTTTGGAATCGGACTCATCCTCATCCGCTGAACTACCAGCGTAGTACAACAGCTGAGGGAGCTGTTGGAGGTGTCTGGTGGCGTCCGGTAGGCCCTGAAACGGCCAAAAAATACAGGGGGCATTTTTTGGGGGCGGCCTAGGACCCGAAAAACGTCCTAGGCCCCCTCAAAAAGAAATCAAAATTTTCAAAATTGGGCCCAATCCAGACCTACCGGACCAGACACCGGACCCATACCCAGACAAACGGACTGTCTGGATTCCGCTCCAGACGTCCGGCCGGTTGCCATGAAAAAAAGCCAGAATTTTTCTTCTTTTTAATTGGAACATTTCTCGATTTATGCGCATCATCCTTGTGCAGGACCCATGATAAACCTTTTTTTTTTTTTTTGGACCATTGTAATCTTCTTTCTCTGCCATCTTCTGTTTTCGTTGCAGCCACATCTGTGTTTCTTTCCACATGCTCTGTGTGTGTGTGTGTGTGTGTGT